TTAAGTGGAGGGACAGTGCAGGAGGGGAAGACCCTCTATGAGGTGGATTGATTCAGTGACTGGGGTAATCAGGATGGGTGTGTCAGAGGCAATGAGACTGGCACAGGATAGAGCAGGGTTTAGGGCTGTTGTACATAGGGTCACTATGAGTTGCAAACGACTCGACGGCACATAACAACAACAACAATGTAATCTTCATAGAATAAAGGGGGAAAGCCCGCACAATCACAAAGGTGGATAAGAAAACACATTTAACAAAATTCAATATCCACTCATAATGAATTCTCTCAATACAATAGGAAAGGAAAACTACATGATGAAAAACATCTACTAAAGCCCTCTGCCACTCACATCACACTTAATGGTAAAAGATTGTTTTTTCTCTATTATTAAGAACACCAAAAGGATACCCTCTCTGTCAATGCCTGCCAAATATCATACCTGAAATCCTAGTCTGTTCAATAGGGTAGAGAGGGAAAAAACAAAACAAAACTGATTAGAAACAAAGAGAACTAGAACTCAAACTGTCCCAGTATGCTGACATTGATAGTTATGTAGAAAATCTCAAAAGCATTGACAAAGAACTTCCTAAAATTATAATTTAGTTAATTCACAGAATCAAAAGTAAAAACAAAATAATCAAGTCTATTTATATATACTGTATACTACTAGCAATAAAAACAAACATTTTAAAAATACCATTTACAGAGCTCTCACATGAAATAAAATACGTATAAATCTAACAAACACAGTTTCTAGATACTGAAAATTATAAAACCTAGGGGAGCTCTGGTGGCCTAGTGGCAAGAAGCTGCACTGCAATCCCAGAGGTGCATGGTTCGAATCCACCAGATGCTCTGCCGGGGAAGGAGGGACAATCTCCTCCTGTACCAGTCAGATCTGATTTGATGGTACACGCACAAACACAAATAATAAAATTTAAAAAAATGCTTTAAAAAAATTGAGAGAACTTTATGTGCTTACACACTGGTAGAGTCCACAAAGTATGTCAGTTTTCCTGAAAATACTCTTTGGGTTTAATGCAATTTCAATTAAATCTCAGCAGGAGGGATCCATACCCACTCTCCCACAGAGAGCCAATTCTAAAATCTATAAAGTAAAAGGAACTGGAATATTCGATATTATTAAACAATACAAGTTTTTAATTCTTTTAACATTCGAAAGCTATGGAACAATAATATTTCAAACCAGACAATGTTTAGGTTTTTATGCTATCTTGTTAAGTTCAGTCTTTGAGGTTATTGAAGAAAGACTTTTTAATTCATCTCTGGGAAATTATCTCATTGCCCTGAAAGGAGAATAACTTAAAAAGCTATTTCGTTCCAGTCCCTTCCACTTAGAAGTTAATGATCTTACATTAAAAGTAAACATAAAGCAGCCTTTCCTTCTCCTACCTCATTGTCTTCCTTCAGATCCTTAGGCACTGCGCTGGGCCACTCTGCATCCTCTTCACAATTCTTATCTTTGGTTTTCAAAGACGTCAAATCCTTGGATGGCTTCTCTGACTCAGATGTAAGGAGACTTAAAGCCTTTTCATCATTAATATCTTGCTAACATATGAAAGAAAAACCATTTTATTTTTGTATTAATTATCTTTTCAAAATATACATTTCTTTAAAAAGGTGTACTTTCTGTGATGCAAAATCTACATTATTTTTTACCTTTATCCATAACTCAGTCTTTCCACTCTGCTATGATTAATTCAAATAAGCAAAAATCTATTTAGCATACATCATAAAACATCCAAAGAAAAAAATATTTAGACAAATACAACAGGTCTGAGCTCTAATGAAATTCAAGTAGGAAGATATACAATCAGATAAATAGATTCAGTGTAAGTATATCATAGGGATATGACAGAAATAAAACTGGGGAGACAGGTATCTGAGAAGATGTAATGAAGGTGATTAACATGACTGTTAGGATGTTTAAAGGATGAGAAGGAATTCATAGATGACCCGGTATACAGAAAGAGCCCTGTGGTAGAGTGTGTTATCTCTTGGGCTGATAACTGGCAAGTCAGTGGTTCAAATCCAGCAGCTGCTACAAGGGAGATAGATGGGGCATCTCTTCCCCTCAATATCTGTTGTTGTTGTATCAGCTCCAACATTTGTTTGTTGTATTGTTTTGCTACTGCTGCTGGGGTGAGATGGTATATCTCATCATTGTTTCGATTTTGCTTCTTTCTGATCACTCATGATTTTCAAATTGTTTCATGTGTTTATTAGCCATCCAGATATCCTTCTCATGAAGAGTTTTTTCATTATCTTTTGTCCATTTTGTGATTGGGCTATCAATCTTTTCTTGTGAAGACCCTGTAGTAGTCTGTAAACTTTACTTATCTTGTCTGAAATGTTTCCAACAACACCCCCACCCCCACCCCAGCCAGTCTGTGGCCTTTCCATTTACTCTATTGGAGGTTTTTGATGCATATAGGCATTTGATTTTAAGGCGACCTCATTCATTGGTTTTCTTCTCTCCTGGTTGTGCATTTTTTTGGGCTACATTTGCAAGCCTGTTTATGTTGTAGGGGATTCTAAATTTGTTTCCTTTTTGTCTCTTATGATCTTTATAGTTTTACTTTTTACCTCCCTAGGTGTCTGATCCATTTGAGTTTGTTTTTATAGTGGGTAATATGGATCCTGTCTTAGATTTCTACAGGTAGATGTCCAGTTTTGTCAGCACCATTTCTTAAAGTGACTGTAATTTCTCCATTTAATGGGCTTTGTTTCCTTGTGAATTATCAGTTGACCATAGGTAGATGGGTTGATTTCTGGGTTCTTGATCTTATTCCATTGATCTTTGTGCATAGGCGAAAGCTGTGCCAGTAAGTTTTGAATACCACAGCTGTGTAGGAGGTTTTAAGGTCGGGGAGTGGGATACTCTCTACTTCATTTGTTTTTCAGAAGAACTTTTTTTTTATTCTGGGTCTCTTTCCTTTGCAAATGAAGTGGAAAACTGCATTTTTCTATGTGTTTGAAGAGTGAATTTGGTAACTGCATTGGGAATGCATTAAACCTGCAGATTGCTTTTGGTAGGATTTTCACAAGGTACAGTCTTCCCATACAGGAACAGGGACTGTTTTCCTATTAATTAGGTCTCTTATAGTGGTGTTTTATAGTTTTCTTAATAAATGTCTTTACATATCTATTAAGCTTTATTCCTGAGTACTTCATCTTATGGTTTACTAGTGTAAACAGTAGGGTAGCACAGGTGAGTGGGCAGAGGAGGGAGGAGTGAAGGAATAGGAAAGATTGAGAACTTCAAGGGATGGGGATAATAAGCATAGATCAACAGCAATTAGTTGTTTAAAATACAATGTATAAATTATTGCAAACAAATCAATTTTATAAAAAGAGGAAAACTCACCAAGATGTATAGATAAGAATTTTCATTACATAAATATTTATAATATTTAGAGCAGCATGTGTCTGAGCACAAAAATCCATTAATTTATGCTTTAATAATACAAATAAAAATTTTAAAATATTAAAAACAACAGCAAAAATTCACCAAGAACTAACAAATACAAAGGCCATAATTCAGTGATTATAAACTAAAAAAAAAAGGGGGGGAAATAAAAATTGCTGTGACTGGGGGGGAGGTGGCAGTGGGTAATCATAGGGTCCCATAATTTGGTGGGTGAAGAGAGGGAGGGTAAGCAATGAGAAAGATCTGGCAGGGATCTGGAAAGACAAGATTTAATGGTGCTGGATTTAATAATACATAATGAATGAGAAGGATTGTATAGAACAAAATGTGAATCAAAGATAGTGTGAAACAATGTATACAAACTTTGTATGCAAACCAATGTAAAAGTAAATAAAATTTAAAAATTGTTGTGGTCATGAAAACCAATATTAAATGGAAAAAGAAAATTGTGGTCATGGAATGAGTGACAGGATTTCTGATGTCAGAGGAAGCTTAGAGAATACTAGAAAGATGTTAACTTGTATTTCTTTTTTTTCTTTTTCATTAAATCATTCATGGACATTTTCTTTTAGAACATTAATCACAATTGTTGTTTTTATTGTTAGGTGCCTTTGAGTCAAGTACACCCCATAGCAATCCTATGAACAAGAGATCTGAACCCTGCCCTATCCTGCACCATCCACACTTTTCCTGACACACTATAGCCCACTGCGGCAGTTATTGTGCCAATCCACCTGGTTGGGGGTCTTCCTCTCCTTTTCAGCCTTTCTGAGCATCAGTTCCTCTCCAAGGAATACTGCTCGCCTAGCAACATGTCCAAAGTATGTGAGCAAATGTTTCTCCTTTTTCCCTCCAAAGAGCCCTCTGGCTGCACCTTCTCCAAGATATATCTGTTTGCTCTTTTTTTATTACTATTATTAATTTTAATGAAAGTTTACAAAGACTTAGGGTTTTCAGTCATTCATTGTTGCACTTTTCTCCCTGCCTACTCTCTCCCCCAAATTCACCAAACACATAAAGAAATGTCCCAAATCCCTAGCTCTCAGAGAGATGCAAGTCAAAACAACTATGAGATATCATCTCACCCCAGTAATAATAGAAAAATTTAACAGAACAGTAAACATCAAATGCTGGGTTGTGGAGAAGCAGGAACCTGTATTCACTGCTAGTGTGAGTGTAAAATTGTGGAAGGCAGTATGGTGCTTTCTCAAAAAGTTGCAAACAGAAATTCCATTTGACCCAGCATGTCCACTACTTGGAATTTAAAGAAACCAAAACTGCCACCCAAGCAAATATATGCACACCCATGTTATTGTGGCTTTGTTCTCAATACAAAGAGCTGAAAACCAAAGTGCCCATCAACAAACAAAAGGACAGAGAAGTCTGGTATATTCACACAATAGAATACTATGCAGCATTGAGAAACAATATTATTTGCATAAAATATTATGAAAAATGGATGACCCTGGAGGACATTATACTGTATGAAATATCTCAGTCACAAAAGGACAAATATTGCATAGGGTTACTGTTGTAAAACGAGACTGACATGAGGGTTGAGGGAAGACAGAAAAGGAGGGGAGGAATGATGTATATTGCATTGAAACAGATGAGGGAGAGAACCGTTTAAAAGGGTTATGTGAATGGGTATTCTTGTCATTACACAAGTCCAGAGTGAAGGCTGCAGAGTAGACTGGACTTGGGGGGAGGGATTGCATACTTGTGTTTTTATTAACTATTCAAAGGCATTCAAGTATATGTATCATAGTATCTTAGTACTGTATTACAATACAACAACATTACAAAAACAGGAATTACAGAACATTTTAGAGTGCTCTTGGGGAACCTGCACGGGGATACTTTGTTTAAAATTAGGATAAGTGTAAATCAGGATTGTACCCTTTTACTACACTTATTCAGCCCGCATGTTAACAAACAATCTGAGAAGCTGGGCTATATAAAAAACAATTTGGCACTGGTTGGAGGAAAACTCATTAATAACCTGCAATATGCCAATGACACAATTTTGCTTGCTAAAAGTGAAGATGATCTGAAGCATCTATTTCTAAAGATCAATGACTACAGTCTTCAATATGAATTACACTTCAGCATCAAAAAGTGAAAATATTCACAACTGAGCCAATAAGCACTATCATGATAAATGGAGAAAAGGCTGAAGTCAAGAGTTTCATTTCATTTGGTTTCACAATCAACACTCATGGAAACAGCAGTAAAGAAATGATATGTCATACAGGGAAAATATGCTTCAACAGACCCCTTAAAGTGCAGAAGAGCAAGTATGTCACTTTAAGGAGTAAGGTGCATCTGACTGAAATAATATTTTCAATCACCTTACATATTTGCAAAAGCTGGACAGTGAATAAAGAATACAGAAGAATATTTGTATTTTAATTATATTAGTGAAGATTGTGGACTATACCATGGACTTCCAGAAGAATAAACAACTTTGACGTGGAAAAAGTACAGCCAGAATGCTGCTTAGACGTGAGAATTCTAAGACTATATTTCATGTACTTTGGGCATGTCATCAGAAGGGGACTAGTATCTGGAGGCCATCATGCTCGGTAAATTAGAGGGTCAATGGAAAAAAGAAGACTTTCGAAGAGATGGGTTGATACAGAGATCAAACAACAATGACTGTGAAGACAGCACAGGACTGGACAGTATTTAGTTCTGTGTACACAGGGTCACTGTGCGTCTGAATTAACTCTACAGACCTGACAGAAGTAACAAAAAACGAGCCCAAATCATTTTAACACAAACTCAAAATCCAAATTCATATATTGTTTTGAACATGCAGTATAAATATTCACACAGGTTAATCTTCATGCAGTCAAGTGGCCTTCCCCACATCCTCATTCTTTCCACTAATCAGGAAATAACAGCTAAAAATTAAGATAATCTCTATCATCTCATTTTAAAAGTTAAACATTTAAAGCTTTATGTAGTTTATCCAAAGGTATTAAAAACATCAAGATATCTACAAAATAGCTTTGGTTATTTACTCAAATAAAATTGATCCTAATTATTCACAGATTCTGTCAAGTCTGTTGCCCACTAAAATTTCTTTGTAAACCCAGAATCAGTACTCAGCATTTCCTTATCATCTGTAGATAAGAATACAGATAAAAAATTTTGGGTGTACGGGTTCCAACTGAGGCCCAACAAGGCTGGTTCAATACTGGCTTATTCAGTGCTCTTGGAAATTTTATAGAACATACTGACTGCAAATCCTAACAATCAACTGCATATCCTATATTCCCAGTACTCACTGTAATAAAGAATATATTATTCAATGAACAGGTTTCTTCCTTTAAAAACCAAGTTCTTCCTGTGTGCCTCCCTTTCCATATTTCTAAAATGCAATAAGAAAGTTTCAACCTAGTAAGGCTGTTGTGAAGCTCAAATTAGTTAGTATATGTGAATAGTTAGAACAGTGCTTGTCATGCAATACAAGTTTAAGAAATTATGTTGTTACTATCATTAATATGACTGTGAACTGGGATAACGTACAGTAACATAACAACTGTAAACTGGAGTTGCCAAAGATTTAGAAAGAAAGTAGGAAGTGAGAACACTTGAAGTACCCAAGTTGCAGAAAAGGATGAAGAGTAGCAGCTGGACTATTGTAGAGGGAAACACAGTTACTCAATGGTAGCAATAGATCTTACAGTGTGAGAAATTATACCATAGCAATCACATAAGCATAACTGAAGTGAAGGATTAAAACAGCAAATAATGAGAGATAAGGTTAACGGTTAAGATAACTGCATACTTTCTGAACTTTCCTAAGTCTCCGTTTCCTCACCTATAAAATGAAGATAATTTTGGCCACTATCTCATAGATTTTGTGAAATTGAATATCATACTCAAAACACTTTTCATAGTGGTAAGTAAATGTTTAAGTGTTCAATGTTAACAACAACAATAATAAAAACCCCATAGAAATATAAGGGAAAACCTCTTACCAACGTATATGGCTCAGTCCCTTTGGATTGTGGATTTCTCTCTTGATCTTTGTTAAAATGACACTGCTGGGAAGGATAACTTGATTCGGTCAGAAGGGTATCCTCTGGTCCTGGACTTGACTTAGTGTACAAAGCTAAAGGATTAAGGTCTCTGAAACCCTAGGATAAAAAAGGAAGAAGAGTCTGATTATAATCAAGAGACAAAAACAAAGTGATATAGTTAAAACTTCATTTCCAATTGCTGTGGAATGCATTATCTTTTCAAACTTAATGGTTCTAAAATTTAAAACTCCTATATAGTGACAGATTTTCCTAGATACAAAAGTCACCAACGTTCTTATCAACAGTCATATAGACACCATTAGAAAGAATTGCAAAACACGCGTTCCTCCCTAGGAAAAATGTAGAGTATTAAACACCTTGGTGTAAGACAGACTCTTCAATTACTTATTTAAAATAAAGCTATTCATATTCCAAAGGACAGTAAGTCAAATGTTCTTCTTGGTTATCTGGAAGTTAAGAGAGTACTCTACATTTCAAAGACAAGAATCTCACAGGTATTCTGAAGATCAAAAAATCTATTCATTATATTTTCTTCTAAGTTGGCATGCTGAGATGAAATAAAGTACAGAACGCTCCCCACCTTAGAAGGGACATTTTCTCGGCATACAATTGCATGGCCTTCTGTCCTCAAGACATGATGGAAGTAGACATCTTCATTTGAAGAAGTATCACACAGAAAAATGTTAAGGATTCCATCTATGTATTCATCAACTACTCCCACTAATGGCTTCAAACCACACAACTTCTGGAATTGCAGAACTGCTCTGGATGTCCAGTGTTCCTGAAATAGAATTGAGTTTTTGGACTCAAGTGACATATTTAAACATGAATTACAATGACATATGAAAATTAATTCATGATGAATTAGACATTTAAGTGGACAATATTAAGCAATAAAAATACAAGATTAACACTATAGGACAATATGATCTGGGGACGGGGAAAGGGAGATAACAGAAAAATGGCAAAAATGTGCTTATGAAAAAATTTTAAATCTCTCTCTATTAAGAAATTTCCAATATTAGAAATCATAAACTAGATTAATGGGTCAACTCTTCCACAGAAAAAGAATGAAAATTCTGTATAAAATACATTTAAAATATGTGCAGAAAGAAAGAACTGACAAAATAGTAACAAACTATAAGGCCAAATTTTAAGGGAAAGTAGAAACTGCTTTTGCCTGGTGGTGATTTGCTTATGCAGACAAATCTGAACCTCAGTTTCAGGGGGATAAAACTCAAAGGTAGGGTTCACCCAGATTCTAGATTTTAGAGACCTTTTCTTCCTTAAGCTAGGCATATCCAGGTTGTTGTTATGTGCTGTTGAGTCACCTGTGACTCACAGCACCCCAATGTACAATAGTCCTAAACTCTATCCTTTGCCAATCTTACTGTCTCTGACACACTTGCCCCCATTACACCAGTCACAGTCCATCTCTCATTGAGGGTCTTCCTCTTTTGCACTGTCCCTTCACCGTCCCAAGTATGATGTCCCTCTCCAAGGACTTGCCAGCAAGAAAAAAAATAAGTTGGTCCTCACATAGATTTTCAGCTCAATTTCACATCACATAGTTGCTCACAAATCCGTAAGTTGTTAATGTAATAGACTAGAAGCACTCCTAGACACCTAGCAGAATCAAACAAAAATCCTCTCTGGAGATAGGCAATGTTAGCCTATATTATTTAAGTATTCTTATATATAGTTCTCAAAGACAATGACAAAGATAAAAAGCATATACAAAACAATGGATCATATACATTAGAAATAAATGCAAAAAAAAAGTTGGCCCTCATATGGATTTTTCACATCATGTAGTTGTCCACAAATCCTCAAACTGTTAATTTATTACTACTAGGGCCTACAACGAAGTCATTCTAGAGACTGAAGTGTGCCTAAATCCAGACCGTGTTTTTGCAATTACTTCTTATGCTTCAGAGTTGGACATTGACTAAGGATGACAGAAGAATAATTGATGGATGCCTTTGAATTGTGGTGCTGGAGAAGAGTCTTGAACATATCATGAACTGCCAAGAAAAGAAATAGGTCTGTCTTGGAGAGGGTGAAACCAAGTCTCTCCTTGGAGGCTAGGATTTTGAAGCTCCATCTCACATCCTTTGGGCATGTGGCCAGGAGAGACCAGTCCTTGGAGAAGGACATCATGCTCAGAAGGGGGGATGGACAGCACAGGAGAGGGAGACCCCAGATGAGATGGACTGACATAGCAATTGAAGCAACGAGGGTTGGTGTGTTGATTTAGTGATACTGGCTCAGGGCAGGGCTAGGTTCATAGATGCTATACATAGAGTCACTATGGGTTTCAGGTGACTTAATGGCACATTACATTAGTGTAATAAACAATACATCATCTACAAGAATAAGCAGACACAACAGATAAATAGATCCTCAAAGACCAGATATTGCATTTAGATAAATTATAAATTGTTTAAAAGGATAAGAACAGCTTTAAAACTTCTTTAGAGAAGATCCAAGATGGCGGCAGAGACAGCGTGGTGACCTGCGTGAGTAGCGAACCACTTAAAGCAGGGCCATTATGGCCTTCCACAGACTTCAGCTTACTGATAATTGAACACTCAAACAGTTGATGACTGGCCCTCAGTGAAGATTGAGGCTCAACAACAGGAATTCAAGGATTCCCAAGGAGAAATGGGTGAGTCTCGTGGCTCCCAACCCTCGCCCCCTGCAGAGCCCGGGCTGCGCCAAACAGCTGCTGCAGCTCCATGAGGCTTCCACAGCCTGAACGAATGGATTCCCTCACCCAGGATGGATGCTGGGCACTGGCCCTCCTCAAGACTGGTTCAGTGAAGCCACCACACTGCCGCAAGGTGGTCTTGTACTGGAGAGAATTCTTGGAGCCAGGATGGCGGCTGTGGGGGAAGCGGGCGCCCACCGGCCGCCCGCACAAGAGAGGCCGTGCACCCACCGAGCGCCCGTGTGGTGGGGTGAGGAGGCGCGCCCCCAACGGCTGCCCCTGCTGGCCACCTGCGTAGGAGGTGGGGGATGGGATGCATGCCCACCATCTGCAGGTTTGGATTTCCTTGGACAGGCCAGAGGAGACGATTACCTATGCATTGGAAAGGCCAAAGAGGACGATTACCTATGCAATGGATGGCTGAAAGTCACTGTGAGTCTGATGACCTTAACAGTGGCAGCATGCACAAGAGGACCGACATCCTAAATGCACCACATATTTTGTTCTGTTGAATGCTTCTGCTGTTCTGTTCACAACTCTCAGGTTCCCTTTATCATATATAAAGGGGGAGGGCAGTGACACCTACTTCAAAATATAGTATGGCCACTTATGGGGGGGTTGTAAAAGTGGCAGTGCTGGAACTGGAAACACTATCCCTGACCACAGAGTTCTCAGTCAGGCGACGGGACCAGACTGGGGTAGGGGCAATTGGAGGGGGAGTATACCAGCCAGCTCCTGGGGGGTGTTGCCCTGC